TACGCCTGTAGTATTCTTTTTTTTTTTTTTCTCCTTCTTTTTGGAAATGCTGTATTCCATCATCTTCGCCGACTCCTAGGCATTTATAGGCTTCTTTTTGTTCCCTAATCTTTGCAACAAAATCTACATATATTGAGTGTGTTTCTGTAATTCTCCCTTTTTTGAATGTTACTTTTGAATATTTATCTAAACTGAAAATGTCATCACTGGAACATTTTACTGTATTGTGGATACCATTCAACTCATTGACGTCTTTTGCAAAGAGTTTGATATTCTTCATGTAGAGTAGGTGATTAAAAACTTTTTTAAATTTTGTATCCATAGTCATTACTGTTTAGTTCATGCTAAAAGGGGATTAAAGGCAGACAAAACGGAAGTGGCGACAGTGTGTCCTCTTGAAAGATTCCTCGTTGGATATTCAAAAAAACTGGTTTTGGCAGTACTATTGGTGAAATTTAAGAATGATGTAGTTCTCCACAGTTTGATACCAGATTTAAGGAAATTTACTATCACCGAGAAAACTTTGTATATTTCCAAAGCCTCAAGGGTTCAAAAGTGCAGCACAATATGAAAGGCTTTACAGTAATCTATCCAAGATGTGCTGTTAATCAAAGTAATCTGTGCTGTTATTATTATTATTATTATTATTATTATTATTATTATTATTATTACCGAAGAAATGATAAAAATCTTCAGGAAAATTATGTATCTCTGAAATGAGCGAATAAATTTGTTTTGAAAAATGTACGAAACCTTCCATTTTAGTCGATTCTTTGAAACCCCGATGGTGTCTCAAACTTTTGTTTTATAGTGTATTAAAAAAGTTTTATCTATATGTCTAAGAAAGAAAAGGTTGTGCTGCTTTCAGTGCCTTCATCTCTTATTACTATAGCTCTGTTTCTTGGGTATATAAATTTATCTATCTTCTATATGTGTGGGTGTGTGTATTTCGAGAGAGAGAGAGATAGGAGGGAGGGAAGAGAGAGAAATGGTGAGCGTAGAGAGAGAGAGAGAGAGAGAGAGAGACTTGTCGTTGATGTAGAATGGTCAAAGAAAGAATTTTCCTCGCCAGCGTTCGACTCTACACACATAAGTCTTAATAAACGTCATCACCGTCTTTTGGATTTCGTTTGGGTTTCTCACATCAGTATTTCATCAGACCAGTTTGACGCCGACTACATATGACACTTGTCTGCGGCAACAGCTTCTTAATTTAATAGCCTCGCTCGATTCATTATCTCTTTTTGGTTGCTTGGTGGGAATCGTGGCTCATCTTGAAATGATGTCTCTTCGTTTTTTCTGTTTTTTGTATTTTGTTGGCTTGGCAATAAATATGACGAGCTCTTATCTTTTTTCTTATTTATCTTCGTTCTTAAGTAAGGTTATGAATTTATATAAGACTTACAAGAAATTACACTTATTTGTAAATCTTGTATATCTATATTCAACCATTAGCTATTCGTATGCATAGTTTAGGGTCGGCTACAGTTATTTTTGTATGAATGAGCAAAAAAACAAAACAAAAAAGGCACAAACTACCATTACTATATAAAAAAGATTTTATTAAAATCTCAACATAAATATTAGAGAAAGAACAAAACCTTCAGCATTATTCCTTTAATTTACACAGCAAATATTAATTACAGATTGATGATAATGTTTGTATGCACGGCCATTATGAATTTCTACCCAGGATTCCTGGCTCTTTTAAGCGGAAAGAATTTTTCTGGCCAAGATACCTACATAATAATATCGAGCAGAAATGAGTAGTGAAAAATGACGCATAGTAGCAGGATAAAATGAGACTCAGTTTAGTTTAGGCAGTAAAAAACTAGAGAAAGTAACTAAAAGGAAACCAGGTGAAAGGAAAAAGTAAGTGTATATGAACATATAGAAAGTAGAGAAACGGACTGAATAAAAAGAAAGGCAGAGCTAGGATTGATGGTTTGATGTCAAGAAAAAATGCGTCGATTGACAGGAACGTAAGGATGTAAAAGCGAAAATATTTCAATATATTAAAATTATTTTAGATATATAACAACAACAAAAAATAGAAAAGAAAAAAGAAAAAGTAAGGAAAAAATGAGACGGATGAATTTTGGGAAGTAATAAGCTAAACAAAAAAGAAACTAGCTGATAGGCCAAAATATGCTGAGAAAATTGGTTCACTGAGTTCTGTCAGAATGTTTCTCGTTAGAATTGATCTGGCATATTTATAAATCTACCATTCGTTCCGGCATGGAATATTATTAACCTATCTAGTAGGGTGTCTACAATAATCTGTAAAGTAATCGATCTTAACTGAACCTTTCGACTTCAGTAATCTTCCCACCTGGCTTGATTCTATCATTTATACAAGTATTTTCACGCGCATGTCTTTTAGAAATCACTATCACAACGGAATACAGTTCACACGATATAAGGTAAGGGCGCCACTCGAGGTAGAGGGTTCAGTTATGGAGTAGTTTATATAGATAGGAGGAGAAGAGAGTGGTTAACTTTAAACTTGAACAGATTAAGATTGTAGTGATCGGTGAATATCTTATTGAGAGTTTGTTTCACAGCGCAGTGATTCTGGGGTAGAAGCTGTTTGAGTGTAACGGAGGGAAAAATAATACATACATATATATATATATATATATATATATATATATATATATAAACAGAGAGAGAGAAAGAGGACTATTTATATGTGTGTGTATTTGTGTAGATATATAGACAAGAGGAGAGAGAGAAAGAGAGAACTATACACACACACACACACACACACACACATATATATATATATATATATATATATATATATATATATATATATATCTTAAGAACGCTGACCGAAACACTACCGTGTTTTCGAGGGGCCAGGTGGTTTGTTCACCGAATAAATCAGAGGCGAGGCAAGAACTTAAATGTCTTTATTCAACCGGAAGTGAAAGGGGGAGTTGTACTGGAAAAAAAAAGTTCAAACTTTGTACAGATTCGTATACCCCAAAATTAACTCTCTCGCGTCTTTATATTTGGCCATGATATGATACACTTGCATATATATATATATATATATATATATATATATATATATATATATATATATATATATATATATATAAACCTAAAAAAACCAGGCAAACCTACTTAGGTTTCACGTAAACACATCGTCAGGGCAATACTGGCAAAAAAAAATTATGGAACAGAATTTATAGCTTAAACCAAAAACAACCATGAGCACGTGATGGTTGTTTTTTTAGTTTTAGCTATATATATTCTGTTCCATTTTTTACCTCATTGGCCGGCATTTCCCTGACGATCTGTGTAGGTGAAACCTAGGTAGGTTTGCCTTGCTCTTTAGGTTTATATTAGGTTTGGTCTACTTCGTGTATTGAGCTCTTTACGTAGTTGCTTTTACTCATTTTGGAGGTTTTTTTTCTTTGAACTCTGAACTTGAATTCTGGTCGATTGATGTCGCCTCAATTTCATGTTTTTAGTTCTTTCGTTTTTATTCCTCATTTTTCTTGGGTATTGGTTTGTAATACTACAAGCAGGAATACCCAAGGTTTTTTCAATCGAGTACCACCATTTATATATATATATATATATATATATATATATATATATATATATATATATATATATAGAGAGAGAGAGAGAGAGAGAGAGAGAGAGAGAAGGGAAGATAGAAAAGAAGAAAATCAACAGGTGCGATAGATATTATATCTATATTTCCTTTTCTCTCGTAAACGCCATTTAGAAACATGAATGGACAACGGAGTTTGAAAGGGATAAGGGACAAAATGGGATAAAAGCAAACGGTGAGAGAAGAGTAAGGTCATGATTTACGTTTATTTCTCAACACCCGTGAAATTTGCAATTAGTAAATAATTATTCTAATACAACTGCTGTATAATATTCCTATGGCATTGGTAACTAAATTTCATGGCTGCAAATTTGTTCCGAGCACATTTATCGTACATAAACTTCCACCACTATGAACGCTTTTCACTAATGTATGTCGACATACATTTAGAGTTTGGATGTTCCTCTGAAAATCTCGACTTATCAACGAGTACCAATGGCATGCCCATTGTTTTTTTGTTTTTTGTTTTCCCTCTAAGAAATGACACATCTCACCATAATTCCATACTTTTACGGATTTCTGGAGTATTCAGTTCTTTTGTTTTTGTTCTATTGATGACTTACACAAAAGTTCCGATTTTGAAACTTTACGGACCGGCCGATTATTTAATCGATGTATGGAAGATTCAGTCAGTAACAATTTACAATCTGAAACAGATCATTTCTCATATATTTCGGTTACTTTGACTGACTTCTTGAACCAACAAGTAAATCAAAAATTTTGTTTTTATCTTTAATATTCAAGTTTGGACACCTTTACACTTACGCCCACAAACAATGGCAATTATACTTGTGTGAATTCTATTTCTAGAAAGTCGTACTCATAGATAGATAGATAGATAGATAGACAGACAAATATAAACAATTCATAGATAGATTTGATAACTTAGATATTCTTTTTTTTCTTTTTGTTACCTTTTCTTATTAATGGTCAATAATTTATAGAGGTTTTGTGCATATACAGTGATACACACACACACACACCTATATAAGAATTAATAGATAAATGCAAACATATTGTTCTAAAGATAGATAGATAGATAGATAGATAGAAAGAAAGAAAGAAAGAAAGAAAGCAAGCAGCGCATATAGAGATGAGCGCATTTCTATTCCAAACAAAACAATTTTGGCAATTTGACGGTTGCCTTCTTTATTTCTTGTAAGTTGATTTATAAACCAACAGCATCGTATAAAATAGAACAGACCATAATTTTGCTTGCGTTTTCGGCGGGAAAATATTTTCTCTGTCGAAAAAGAAAGAAAAAAACATGATCCGTTGGTGAAGCTTTATGGAATATACTTTTATAGCATACAGTACTTTATTGTTTCGGAGCAAATATTTTGTTCGTTGGTTATCGTAGATTTTACTAATGAACCTTATTCGAGTCAATATCTATAAACCGCCTATGACTGATCTTTTTAAAACGATTTGCCCATGTGACGCGCCGTCGCCTCTCTCTGTCTTTTCTACAAATACTTTCATGGTAATTGCTCCGATGAGCTGCTTTCACTGGTTCCCAGACACCATGAATTGAAGCGCCCTACAAGGCTGGCATCCCGCTCCCACCCTTACACCGTAGAAACTTTTAAATGTAGCCGTCTCTTCTACTCCAATAGCTTCACACCTCGCACCTCTCGCCTGTGGAACACCCTTCCTAATTACTGTTTCCCTGAGAGCTATAATCTCCAACTATTCAAATGTAATGTCAATCGACATCTCCAGTTACCTTGAGCTACCCACTATCCTTCTCCTCATCCTTTCTTCTATCACTCCTATCTACTCTCGCTCCAAATCTTCTACAACCCCCTGCATCCTAGTGGCTTCACGCCTTGCTCGGAGCGTAATGCTTAAAAAAATGTGTACAAATGTTTCGTGTTATATGCGGAATTTGGGAATAATCCTTACGATGTTAGGATGGAAGTTCTTTCTTAGTAGTAATGGCTATTGTGAAATTAATCGATTTCATACAAGAAACTTTCGGAAACTAAGCATTATAAGTGTTGTCTGAAATCTATAACATATTTTCCTTCAAAATTTTCCCCCGGGATATAAGACTAATCAAACACACTAGCACTATTCTTTCTAGAATTTAACATGAGTTTTCATTACTAAATTCTTTTCTTATGGTAGTGCAGAAAGTCAAAATCTTGATTATATAATGATTTTCTCTTCTAATTAAATGGGTTGTCTGTTCTCTTGTTGCATTTGAAAGTCTTCAAGTGATATATCTCTTTTGTTATTTGGTAAAACTGTGTAATATTTTTGGCACCATACGCGCTGTATCATATTCTTTAAAACTAAAAGAATGAATTCATTTGAGTTGTTCATTCGTTAATAACTTCCGTTTGAAAAGTTATCTGACTTAAAGCTTTTAAAACAAATAAATCTGAGAATACAGAATCAATTTGCAATTTTATGTACAATACGAAACAGCCGGTTAACTTCCTACTTTTAAAAGGATGTTTGATCATAAACATTATATGGCAGATTTATTTACAACAGAAACCATTTAACAGATAACTAATGAAATCAGCCATATTGAAAACTATAAAGTTAAAACAAATCCTTATGGGAATCACGGAGACTCTAAGGTAGACGAAATATTTTCGGGTGGCTAAATATATTGAAGAATATGCCAGCAATATATTTTCAAATAATTACTTTATAAGTAGTTATTATTTATATTACACCGTTTCAGCCGTTGTAAGCTTTGACCTTCTTCAGGAATCTGTATATCCAGGCATCCTTCAAGAAATTTAATCCGATAACATTTTATTTAATCTCCAGGGATAAATACCTCCGTCCGCTGTCTATGTTTAAGCATATATCGCCGCGTTCTTTTGCTACGGCTCAATTATTTGATCGACCTGCTTACAATAATCATTCCGGATTGCCTCGAGGGATAAACTAAAACTTGGTGCCTTAAACATAATTTTCTTTTTCACCATTTATATATATATATATTTTTCAGTTACTGCTTCCTCCAGTTTTCTGTTTCAGATTCCCCCAGTTTTCAGTTTCTGCTTCCTTCAGTCTTCGGTTTCTGTTTCCTCCATTTTCGGTTTCTTATTCCTCCAGGTTTCAGTTTTTATTACCTCCAGTTTTCCATTTCTTCTTCCTCCAGTTTTCAGTTTTTTCTTCCTGCAGTTTTCGGTTTCTATTTCCTCCATTTTTCGGTTTCTTATTCCTCCAGTTTTCGGATTCTTATTCCTCCACTTTCTTCCAGTTTTCAGTTTCTTATACCTCCAGTTTCCGTTTTCTGTTTTCTCCAGTTTTCAGTTTCTATTTCCTCCAGATTTCAGTTTCTATTTCCTCTAGTTTTCAGTTTCTCCTCCCTTCAGTTTTCGGTTTCTTATTCCTCCAGTTTTCAGTTTCTCATTCCTCCAGTTTTCGGTTTCTCTTTCCTCCATTTTTTGGTTTCTCTTTCCTCCAGTTTTCGGTTTCTGTTTCTTCCAGTTGTCAGTTTTTGTTTCGTCTAGTTTCCTTCCTGGTGCATAGGCCGATTTTTCAGCATTCATTGCCACATAAGAGGAGAGATATTACAGAGCAAACCAGTATTCTTTTCTTTGTTTCTAACGATTTCATCTGTTTTTCAGCAACGTTAAGCTTTTAGAATGTCTCTTTTCCTAGTCCAATGCCTAGTCAGATATCGCTGTCACATTTTCTCCCCTACGTCTCTCTTCATTTCCTAGATATATAATCTCCACTTGCTTGATGTTGATTGTTCTAATTTGGAATTCGCATCTTGAGATTTTATACTCTTCCTGATGATTATATTTTCTGGTTTTTCAGTTGAGGATGAGTCCTTTTTTCTCTTTCCATTTTGCAACCCTGTCTCAGAGGTTCTGTTGTGTTTTTTTTTGTGTCAGCCTATTATCTGCGTATCTAATATTGCTAATGTTACGCTTATCTTAGGATAGCGTCGCTGTAGACTTTGAATGAATCTGGGGAGATTTACACCTGTTTTTCTATCCGTATGCATGTGGTTAGATCCCACTATAAGGTTTGGAATATTCTAACTTCTATTTCAAATAGATATCATTTTCGTAGCATTTCAAAGAGATCCTGGCGTCATACCTTGTCAAATGGTTTTGTTTAATTTATAAAACATAAGACAAAACTCTTTTGCATTTGCATTTGCATTGCTGGCTTTGATATCATTCAGATAAGGAAAATCGAATTTCTTCTTCCAGAGTCCTTGAAAAATCCGCACATGTTTTATTTCCGTTCTACTTCGGCTTCGCGCTAAATTCATCAGTCTTCGCATATCACGTGATATAGGTAGGATTATGTAGTAGAGATTAAAGAAAGAACGAAATACTGGCATAAATAGACATCTTTAAAGTAATTCCTCGTATTATCCCATTAGTTTAAAAGCAACAGAAAATGTGTTAAATTTGATATAGATATATAAACACACGTATTATGAAATGGATAAAGTTCGATAATTATTTAAGACATTTTTATGCTTATATGTTCTTTTTATAGATACAAAGCTTTAAGTAAATGGTCTGTTTATTAAATACAGTATTAACAACATTTACCGGCTTGAACGTCCGAGAAATCTTCATAGAAAATATTCGTCCTCTGACAGGAAGCGAACCTGTATCCAATACGGAAACGTCACATAGCCTGACGTGCCTTAACCGATTGAGCCACAGAGGAACGCTCGGTTAGCAAGGTCGATTTTACTGTTTTAAAACATAATTTTCTATGATTTTATCTCATACATTCATATCTGCTCAATGCGTATCCAAATGTAAACAAAGGAGGTAATGCATTATGAAATGGACAAAGTCCGAAAATTATTTAAGACATATTTTATGTTTTACTAACGAACCGATATATATATATATATATATATATATATATATATATATATATATATATATATATATATATATCGCGTTTAGCATGAAACAAGTGAGTTTCTTTCTTCGTTCAATGACAATGTTATTAAACTTATCAGATGTTCTGAAAAGAATTTGCATAAAATAAATAGACAACAGTTGTCTGTATTATTTGATGAAACGTATATATATATATATATATATATATATATATATATATATATATATATATAGTGGTTTCAGAAAAAGCTTTAACGGCATCAGTTAAATAAACTTTTTAATCTTTTGACTTGTAATACAATGATATGACATCAGGCATTTTGTCATAAATATATATATATATATATATATATATATATATATATATATATATATATATATATATATATATATATATTTTTGTGTGTGTGTCTGCGTGCGTGCGTAGACATGTTCTTTTAATCATTTCATCCCAAACAAGACCATAAAATCTTAAACAGCCAAGGTATTATTCACTATGATGGAAGATTAAGAGAGAAATAATAAAAAGAAGGGAATTAGGAAAGCATAAGATAATTTAAATTTTTGAAGGTCAAAATAGACTGGAAAGCAAGGGGCTTGAAGCGAGTTCCATTAACGGGAAATAGAAGAGAATAACTTGTTAGCAAGGTACTTACGGTCCCATTAAGTCATTTCATTTGTAAAATGAAGATACCTAACTGCAACTCGTTAAAATTCATAAAGTCTTCACCAAATAGCTCAGGATAATGTCCTTGGAAATATTTCTTGAAAAGTCACAATGAAGCTACGTTACGGCGATATTGAAGTGACTAAAGGCGAAATGCTAGGCCGGGAGTCAAAAATAAATAGTGGTGTCATCAGAATAGATATCGAGTTGATTACATCGGGAACAACGGAGGACCAAGAAGAGAGTCCTGTGGAATAACTGCATTAATGCATAAAGATTTACATGAGTCGTCAGTCAAGACAATTTCCCGTTCGCAGTTTGGATAAGAAAGGTTGAATCAATTAATGTGCGGAAATGCCATAAGCATTCCACTTGTGAAGACGAGCAACATGCCAAATGTATATGGTAAAT